TATCTGTGTATCTGCCTTCAAACATAAGTTTCTGAGACATATTTCACAGATGAGGCAACACGTAAGACCAGTCGTAAATGTGAGTCCTACAGATTCCCAGAAAACAGGGGTTAAACTCTGTGCTGTTCATCAGGGGACTCAGTCAGACCATTAGAAAGAGAGAACAGGCATCAGAGCTTATCAATATTTATAAACCTGGGTTATGCACAAATCCTACTACTACTTGGACAGCAGTAGTTATTATATATACATCGATGAGGATTGATTAAAGAAGAAGTTATGCAAAAAGACATACTAGACTAGCACTGAGTCAATAAAATCTGTAGAAAGAATATTAAATTGATATTATTCAATTTGTACCTCAAATTAGGTAAGGCTTATGGTGATCAGATAATGATATAAAGGCAAGTCTCAAAAAAGAACCAACAGTTCCTAGCACATATTCCTCAAAATAGTACATCTATCTATGTAAGGCAAAAACATGCATGTGAAAGCAAAGGTCATTTATTTACAGCTATGTCTGAAGACTTCAAAACAAAGTGATTGACAGCTGAAAAGGGCAAAAAAGTCTGGACAGTCACAAAAACATCATACTTTCAGGGACTTACAGGATGCTGCATAGTGGTTTAGCATATAACTGCATAGTATACAGTCTTTTCTAAATTGTAAGATATATTCACCCTCATGGGCCATTTTCAGAAAACAAGAACATTATGTTTTCAAAGGAACTAAACTCATTCAAAGCAAATTCTTACACACTATTGGAAAAAAATTAGAAATGAACTGCAGAAACATATTGAATAATCCTAAGAATTTGAAGTTAAATTACAAGTTTTAAGTAACACATTTCAAGTGAAATACTTGATTACGTATTAATTTTTCATAACACAAAAATGAATATTGGCCAGGGATTTAGCTCACTGAGATAAGTGCCTGCCTGGCAAGCGTGAGGTCATGAGTTTGATCCCCAGTACCAGAAAGAAAGTAAATGTATGTCTTACAACTCTTTAGAGATCCAGAAGTGAGATCATGTCATAATTCAATGGAATTATTTTCTGTCTTCAGAGCTAGAGTTTGTTGTAGGCATAGAAAGAAATTACACATTTGCTGAAAACAGTGTTTGGGGTAAAATTGGTGATATTCCTCTCTCCTTGTGTGTGACAATTTACACTATACATGCTTCATTCTGACAGTCACAAATCTGACAAATCACCAGAGATCAGGATAACTACACCACCACTCTACAACCTCTCTGGATCTTGCCTAAAACCTGTGTTCTTTAGAGTATGTTCTTTATGCAATTACAGTAAAATTGATACAACTGATTCAATACAGATCTCTGGACATGAAGACATACTTAACCTCATTGGTGCAGACACCTGGTAAATTGATCACAGTACTTATGCAAGCTGATGGAGACTTTATTAAGTAGCAATGACACTTGTAGGTACAGTGTCAAATCAGTCCCTAAATATCACCTTCATAGTTACATACATGTTCACATAGCACCATATCTGAAGCCAATACACTATCCATGGAAATATTCACACAGTGTAATACTATATAAATTCCATCTGAATATTCAAAAATAGTTGGTTCTTATATTGCACATTTTTGTCTTTTAAGCTTTTTTCCATCACTTCCTTTATTCTCCAGAATTTCCTAAGCCAGCCCATGTAGACATGGCTGTTTAGACACAGCACTCTGGGTAAGGGCACTGTAATTAAGTTTCCCTGAGCAATAGGAGTAATGGACATAGATTGCCAATAAGGAAATATGATAAATTATGGAATTAAAATGTCCCAGTGGAGAAACAGTGCACTAAAGGAATCACGATTCCTGAAGACATGAGTGTGCCTTTTGTCCCACTGCAGCAGTGTGAAAGGAGAATGTATTAAATCTCCCTATCAGGTGATTTACCAAGAACTATCATGTGAAATCCAGGTAGAGCTCATGAGGTCATTACGAAAATAAAAGCATCTAGTGCACACTGTCTTCCGCGGAGGAACTGTATTCTAAGCATGCAATAATAAAGTTTAGATACTGGCTTGGATCTTAACGTGCTTTCCAGAGGAATAATTTCAGTGTAGAAAAGAACAAGATGATCCAAGGTTTAAGCAGCTAGAACAGTTTCCACAACTGGCAAAAGTTACAGAGAGAAATGGAAATATTTTCCCTTCGATTTTGTACATGTTTGGTATCTTGTGTTCTAACAACTCAGTCCTGTCTTTTCATTGAAAATTTCCATTCTATCCCCTTGTTCTGCTGATGTAATCCAAACAGTGTCACCAGAGTGGGGCAACTTTTTATAATAAAAAAAAAAAATTCAAAACAAAACAAAGAAAGAAAATAGCAGAGTACTTTTTACGTTTTCAAACAGTATTAGTGTTGTCGTAAATCAGTTGCTCAGGAAAAACTGGTTAACACAGCATTCAAAATAAGAATCTATCTAGGAAGTGTTGAAGAAATAAGAAATAATACAGATGCTACTTCAATTGGGAAGACAGAACATATTCATGAACCCAAAGGTAACTGAAAATAAAATACATTGAAAAGGCACAAAGTGGACATAATTGAGCAAACATCATGGCTAAGCCTTGGGTCCTTTAAACCTGCTCAATACACATATCTTCATCTGTATTTGGAGAAATTTACAAAACACAAAGTCAAATTCATCATAAAACACTATCTATCTCATGTATTTTAATGAATACGGTATATTATAAATCACTGGTTGTTCACCCATGGTATCTTATTTCTGACAGAGCAGTGAACTGTTACTGCTATCCACCACCATAAGGGACCGTGTGAAAAATGAGTAAGCTTCAAAATTAAAAGATTTGCACTAAACTTTTCCTCTTTATTACTAAAAACTTAACCTCGGCCCTCATGCATATTAGACAAGTTAGTTGGGGGGGTGGGGTTAAATGTATTTCATATTAAAAAAAAAAAAAAAGCCTTGCTCAATTAACCAGGCTGTGTTTGGTGGTGTAATACTCCTATCAAAATTTCCCAAGTAGCTGGCATTACAAGTGTGCACCGCCATGCCTCAGTTGTATTTACTTTACTCAAGCACTTAAATTTTGGTAAATCATGGTGACTGAAGATCCCAAGTTTTAAACTAGCAAAGCAGCACGGGTCTGTGTTCCCAACAGTCCAGGACATACAGATTATCAAAAATTTTTCCAAGCCTGGGCCACTTAGTAAGATCTGGCCTCAAAAAAAAAAAAAAAAAAAAAAAAAGGAAAAGAAATCAAATCATTCAGGAGAAGGTAGCTGGGCAAAACTGCAGAGTTCATACCAGTACAATGGAAAAGATCAGACTCAGCTTGAAATCTTTTGTATCCAAAGAAACGCTCTTCCCATTCCACATCAGGGAAAGTGCCCACCCTATTTTTAAAACCTACAAGACCAGTTTCCTCATTGTAATTTCACTGTAAAAATGATTAGGTGAGCTCATCTGTACCGACAGAAGAACTACATACTTGCTACTAAACTCTCCTCCTTTCTTTAGGTCTCTGACCTTTCTCCTAATTCCAGGACAATCCAGCACACAACCCTTCATTTATCTCCTAATTCCAGGTCAACCCAGCACACAATCCTTCACTCTAAGAACGACCTGACTTCTGGAGTTTACTGTTCTAGTTGATTTCTGCCATCCCCCAAATCCCCTGCTCTCTCATTTCCTTTTTACTTGCTCTTTGTTCTTGCCTGTTCTGAAAACCTTTCTTTGTATTTATTCATATGCCCGCAGACCTTAACTATGGGAATTTACTTCTATTCCGGCATTTGTTTTATGTAAAACTATCATTCAAGGTTCCATTAAAAAAATTTTTTTAAAGTCTAGAAACAGTCCACAGGCTACAAAGCAATTATTTCAGAAATGATGCCCCCTTGCCTTTCCAACCATACCAACCTCACAAGTACACATCCCCGTAGAAGCCCCAGTTCAATGTATTTCTCAGGGTGGGTTTAACAGGCACCCTCCCCCACAAGTTCTCCTTAGCAGATCACTTCCCCTCCCTTGGTAATACATGAACATCCCCTCCATCTTTCACAGTATTCTAAACTCTACGGAACGCCTCAATTAAATAGTCTAAATGTAAATAATATTTTATTTAGCTAGCTTATATATAAGGCATTAAGGGAAGGGCGTGACGTAAGAGTTGGGAATTTATCCATTTGACATCAATTAAAATTATAAGTCAATTACCTGGAAATTTAGACCAACTGTGCTCTTTCTGCCCATCAAGGAATGCAGCCCCTCCCTAAGTGTCTGAGTTTCCAGGAATGTAAAACACAAAACACCCAGTGTTTCCCTAAAAATCCCATTTCCTTTTAACAGTGCATACAGAGGAAGTGGTTTAGACAGCCTGAGTTCAAAGTGATTGTTTTAAATCCACAGAGCCCTTAGGGATAGGTGGCCACTAAACAACGGAGCTTTTACTCAGCTCTGCTTATTCATGATTAACTCTGGATCCAGAGAACACAAGGCCACTCACTGGGGACGCTTCCAGAATCAGGGCGCTATTATTCTTCCTATTTTCAATAAAATCCTTGCTAACATCCTTCTTTTGGTTTGCGACTTCATTCCTCAATGTTTTGAGGCCACGAGCTCTATTCATGCAATAACACAATTGCAAACAGATGTCTGACACAAAAAATTCAAAGTGATGAGATATTTTTATGGCTGAGTATGGAACCCAGGATTTATCCTACAGCCATGCTCGCTCCAGACTGCTGGTGACATCCGTTCCGGGGGCTGCCCAGGAAGGTATCCTGCCTGGGCTGGCAGCGTCAGATCACGCTGGGGACGCAGCGCTGTCCCTGCCTGAGCGAAGGGGAAACGTTTCAGATGACGACGCAGCACTGGAGCCCAGCAAGGCCTCGCCGTCTGGAGCTGAGCAGGGAGGCTACAGATCGCCATGGCTGTTTCTGATCATGAACATCCAGAAAGCACCAGATTCCTCCCATCCCCAGCTCCCGTCCCACAACGTCACCATTGTGTGGCCTGCTGGTCTCCCAGGATCCTTCCAATGCAGCTAGCAGCCAGTAGAAATTTGAGAAAAAGGTCGTCTAGTCAGCAGGGAGCTCTCAGCAACGCACTCAAAGGGTGCATTGCGGCGCCATGACAGAGGAAGAGCCCGCCTCCCGCACCAAGCCTGATTGGGGCTCTAAGTCGCCCACGCCTTCACCGTTGATTGGTTCCTGTGTCTTTGCCTCTCAGCTTGAAAGAGCCTGCCAGGAACAAAAAAATCTCTTTTCAGCAGAGGTGGAGCTCCGAGGATCAGCTGTAACCCAGGGACTCCTGGAGTGGTCTCTCTCCCAAAATATCAATCGCACCTCTCCTTAGGAATACTTACATTTTTTATTTTTATTGCCTGGAATATTTAATATTTAACATGCTCTTTTAATTTTTTTCCAAATCCTTTTTTGTTTCAAGGATTAAAAAAAAAAAAAAAGAACAACAACAAAACTACAATAAAATTTCAAAACACATCAATCAGGGGCAACAATGGTACATATCTTGCACATTGTCATTCAAATCATTCACCCAGAGCACAAAACATCTGCATTCAATTGTCCGAACAATACTGATACAATTCTTTTTCTTCAGTGAACTCAGAAAAATTTCTAGTATAACTATCTTAACTATTTTTAATATACATATCCACACATACACATATACGTATATGTTTTTACTTTCAGCTTCTCACACTGATGAAACAATATGATGTTTACACGTGTGTCTTATTTATTTCACTAATGAGTGTGTTCTCAAGTTGCATCCATTTACCTATAAGTCTCCAGCTTACCTTTCTTTATGGTTAAGTAGTACTATATTATATAAAAGTGCCACATCTTTTTTATCCATTCCTCAGTCGATGGGCATTTAGGTTGTTTCCAAGGTCTGGCTATTATAAATTGTGCGGCTATAAACATGGGTGCACATATATCACTGTGGTATGATGCTTTCAACACTTTTGGGAACATATGCAGAAAGGGAATAGGTGGATCAAATGGAATCTTTAGTGCTAGTTACTTGAAGAATCTCCACACTGATTTCCACAGTGTCTGTACCAGTCTGCATTCCCACCAACAGTGAAGAAGGATTCTTCTTTCCTCACAGCCCCTCCAGCATTTGTTATCGATTGATTTCTTGATAACAGGCATTCTTTCTGAGGAGAGGTGGAATCTGTGTTGTTTCCATGTGCATCTCTCGAATGGCCAGTGCTGTTGAATATTTTTTCATATATTCATTTGCTGTTTGTATTTCTTCATCTGAGAAGTGTGCACTCATCTCAGATGCTCATTTTTGGAGTGGATCTTTGAATTTAGGGGGACTGATTTTTTTGTGTTCTTTATATGTTCTGGATAGTAATCCTTTGAGGAACAGCTGGCAAACATTTTCTCCCATGTTGTAAATTGTCTCTTCACTCTGCTGGTGGTTTCTCTTGCTATGCAAAAGAATTTTAGTAGGGTCAGATCCCAGTTATTGATTGTGATAGTGCCTGTCCAATCAGAGTTTTGTTCATAAAATCTTTGCCTACAACAATGTATTCAAGAGTTTTTACCTAATGTATAATCCAGCAGATTTAATGTTTCTGTTTTAAAATATTTAATCCATTCTGATTTTAACTTAGTATATGGTGACTCCAGTTTTAATCTTCAGCATGTAGAAGTCCAGTTTTTCCAGCACCATTTAGTAAAAAAGCTATTTTCTTCCAGTGAATGTGTTAGGCACCTTTATCAAAGATATGGTGGTTTAGTATGTCTGCAGTTCTTTCTGCATCTTCTCATCTGTTCCATTGATCTTCTTGACTGTTTTTTGCTAGTACCACACTGTTTTTATCACAGTAGCATTATAGTATAATTTCAAGTCAGGAATTGTAATGCCCAGTCTTGTCTTTGTTGCCCAGGATTGCCTTTACTGTTCTAGGTCTCTTCTGGTTCCAGATGCATTTTAGGATTGTTTTCTCTAATTCTGTAGGATATGCTATTAGAGTTTTGATTGGGATTGCATTGATTCTGTATTACAGTTTTGGAAGTATGGCCATTTTCACTATACTGGTTTTTCCTACACAAAAGCATATAATATATCTATTTTCTAATAACCTCTTCCACTCTCCTTTTTCAGAATGCTGTAGTTCTCAATGTAGAAGTCTTTCACATCCTTTGTTAGACTGACTCTCAGGTATTTCAATTTTTTGGATGCTATTGTGAAAGGTATTGTTTCGCTGATTTCTCTCTCAGTGACTTTGTTATTCATGTACAGGAATGCTACTGATTTTTCAGTGTTGACTTTGTAACCAGCTATGTTAATGAATTTGCTTATTAAATCTGGAAGTCTTTTGGTGGAGTTTTTGGGGATCTTCTAAGTAGAGTATCATGTCATGTGCAAATAGTGATAGTTTAACTTCTTCTTTTCCTATTTTATTTCTTTCTCTTGTATAATTGCTCCTGTTAAAGTTTCTAGGACTATGTTGAATAAGATTGGAGGCAGTGGACATCCTTGTCTTGTTCCTGATTTGAAAGTGAAAGCTTGCAGTTTTGTGCATTTAATGTGTTGTTGGTCATTGATGTCTCATAGATGGCTTTTATCAGATTGCAATAAAGAACATCTATTCAAATTTTCTGTAGGGTTTTTAGTCATGAATGGATACTGGACTTTATAAAAGCTTTTTCTGCATCTATTGAGATGATAATATGATTTTCATCCTTGGCTCTGTTGCTATGGTGTATTATATTTATGAATTTATGTATGCTGAACCATCCCTGCTTCCCTGGGATGAATCCCACTTGATCATGGTGTACAATCTTGTTGACAGTTTGCTGCAGTCTGTCTGCCAGGATCTTACTGAAGATTTTTGCAATAATGTTCATTGAAAATATTGCCCTATAATTCTCTTTCTTAGTTGGGTCCTTCTCTGGTTTTGGAGTCAGAGTAATGCTTGCTTCCAGGACAGAATTTGGAAGTAGAGCATTGCTTCCCATTCAATTTCATTAAAAAGTTTGAGAAGTAATGTTGTTAGTTCTTCTCTAAATCTCTTGTAGAATTCAGCAGCGAATCCATCAAGGTCTGAGGTTTTCTATGTTGATAGGTTTTTAATTACATCTTTGATTTTATTTTCTGATTTTAGGGTATTTAGGATTTTTATATCTCCTTGGTTCAGCTTTGATAATTCATATGTATCTAGAAATCAGTCCATTTCTTCTGTATTTTCCATCTTATTAGAATACAAGTTTTCAAAGTAGATATACATGATCTTCTGTATTTCAGCAATTTCCGTTGTGATTTCACCCTTTTCTTCCCTAATTATATGGATTTCAGTCTTTTCTTTCCTTTTTTGATAAGGTTGGCTAAGAATTTGTCAATTGTATTTAATTTTTCACAGAACCAACTCTTCCATTCATTGATTCTTTGTGTTGTTTTTAGTCTCCAGTGTGTTAATTTCTGTTCTGATCATTGTAATTTCCTCCCTTGTACTAGCTTTTGGTTTAGCCTGCTCTTCTTTTTCTGAAAGTTTGAGGTTGAATATTAAGTTGTTTATATGTACTTGCTCTGTTTTCCTGATGTGAGATTTTCTGCTATAAACTTCCCACTTAATACATAACTGTAAAAGATGATATAGATATAGACTAGATACGTATATAGTCTGAGAAACAGTATTATGCTGACAAAAATTGTCAAGCAAACAGTGTAAAACAATAAAAAACTAAGAAACAAATCCTCCCCTGTGCAGCCAAAATATTTTTAATGAAAGCAGCAGGAGCACAGGTTTGGCCACTGGGGTTACTTTAGCAAATAATGCTCGGGAAAATGTGAATCCCCATGATGAAAGATGAGATCAGAAACCTGTGTCTCAGCATCTGCAAATTTACACTAAAAATTAAACACATAAGCATTTAAAATAAAATATTAAAAATTAATGAAAATATATATCAAATTCTGTATAGCCGAGGCCTAGGAGAACATGTTCCTGAGCAGAATATAAACACATAGGAAACAAAAGCAAATGTAGAAAAGAGGTATTACAGAAAACTAGAAAAAAATATTCTGTACAAAGGAAAATATCAATAGAAAGTAAAGACACCACCTAAAGGTTTGGTATAATACTGAGTAATAATATAGTTACATAAACAGTGTGTAATGAAGTAAAATAATCTTTAAAGCAAAATGATAATGATAATTGTAATGATAACAATTTGTTTAAAATTAGCAAATAATCTTAATATGTATTTGCCTAAAAGGAAAAACAAATGACAAAATGAGTATGAAAAATTCTCAATATAACAACTCTAGAAATGTAAATGCAAATGAAAATACAATATTGTTCACTCATATTACATGAGTTCAAGACAGAATATAAAATAATTATGGAAAGTAAAACTGGCTGAAGAGGGGAGGAGCCATGTGGGAGCTACTTAGAGAAAATCAACTAAAAGCACAGGTAATTAGAATAAAGGGAAGAACCTAAATCCTAATGCCAACATCGATCTGACATAAGAGGCTTATAGACCAAACAAAACATACATATGGGACTTTTATAAAATGGCACACTAACCCAGAGGCTTCTGGTGGGCCTGCCACCTGTGCTCAGAGCAGGAACCTCCACTCAGAGAAGTTTCCAAAAATCTGATGGGCTGCAATAGTGCAGCTAACATGAGCCACTGAGGACGGATTTGGACTATAGAGCCCCTCACCTCCTTTGCCTTGCTCCACATAGAGGACACTGCAGCCTATCAGCAAATTTCATTGACACACACAGGTGTAAGTGACCAGGAAACTGCTCCTTTCCCAGTGACATACCTTTTTTTCTCATGTGATATGGAGTCTAACTGCAACCTCTAGCAACAGCAAAGTTAGAAACCACAGCAGCAATGGTGAAGGTAGTGAGTGGGACAGCATGACCCTCCTGTCTCACAACCAGTGTTTTGTGAGAAAGACATAGACAGGTGGCATTTAATCAGACTTGTGCCACAGCAGAGCAATGCGAGGGAGGTCTGCATGCCCCCTGCTGAAGAGGAAGTTTGAGTGAGTGGGAGCTTCTTGACCTGGATCAATGGTGGTGGTAGGAACAGTAAGTTTCAGACAGCATCCAACCTCCCTGCCTTACAGCAAGTGGAGTGAGAGAATCAAGAGGAACAGGTACAGCAG